AAAATATTGGTTTTAGGTTTATATTCATTTTGCCATGTTGAGTTAAATATCTGTTGGTTAATATTTTGGTAGTTTGTCCAGTTATCAAAGTGTTGTTGTATGTGAGATTTAATTTCTTGTGGTAATAATATCATTGTCAGTTTTAATATTATCAAATTTGACAGGATCTTTGTGATGATTGAGAATACTATTAATCATAGATTTAGGATTGGATAAAAGTTTATCACATCTTTTAGAAATATTGTCATTAATTTGTTGACGAATTTCTTTAATATTTTCCATATTGCGAGCATGATATAATGCTTTCCATTCTTCATTACTAGTAGTTAACCAATCTGCAAGGAGATTATATGTCTGAGGCATATGTGAAATATTTAGTTGGTGAATACTGTTGAGTTTGTCAATAGTAGAGTTGTGTTATATAGGTATAGATGATTGGTTTTTAAGTGATATTTTAACTTGTCATATTATATTGCTAAGCCTCTTGAGATGATTATGTAATAAAGATGCTTTGGGTGAGAATATATGTTAAAAATTTTGTACACTGAATTTTTTGTTAGGGATATGCTGTAGGGCTGTGTTAATAATACTAGTCTGTATTTTGTGCTAAATACATTTAAGTGATTCTGATGTGTCTATAGATAATGGGATTTTGTTGATTCTAAGGTTAGAAGAGATTTGGTCAGAGTATGTTTGCCATTGTTCGTTATCCATATTTTTGTAAAGGAATATTCTTTTCCGGGTTCTTGTTGCAGTTATACGATTACCTATAAGAGCATGAAGAAATGTCCAAGAGGAGATTAGGATTTTATAATCACTTTTAGTACTGGTATTGGGGTCATCTATATCAAATAGAGTTAGATATCGGAGGATTGAATGATTAGCCTATATTATTGTATCTATTTTGTTACTTTTCTATATTATTTTGCTATAGTTTAATTTATTTGTTGTTAACTAAAAGATTATCAGAAAGAATTAATATATTTAATAGCTAAAGATTTAATTATACAGTATATATAAAATTATTACTATTTATATAATATATTTCCAAATATAGTACATACAGTACCTATAGGAAATGTTGTCATAAACCATAAACATGAATGACAAACAGTTCAGGATAAATATTTTTTTGTCCTGAACAATTAAAATTATAATAAAAACAGCCTTGTTAACCAATCAGGTTATTTGATAGACTATATGATATAGAACATCATCACGGACATGAAACATTGTTCGAAACATGAAACACTATCTGTGTTCCTGCAATTTTAATGAGACAACGCCCATATATAAAACTGTCACGGGTACCATTTAAATTAAAAGATGATAAAAACCCGGGTACTGTATGCGGTGGCAAACGGTAGTATATTAAATTTTTTTATTGTTTTTGATTGGTCAACAAGCACGTTTTTATCAACAATGTCACAATCAAATTTTTTTGATTGGGTAATCATTTTGATCGATGATAATATTGCTCTTGTAATAAAAATTTATAATTTAATAGTGAAAGTATTTCCCGTCCCTGGTTACAGATTTATTAACGTTAACTATTTTTATATGTAATAACGATAATTATATTAGAACTGGATGCAGTGAAACCGCGCTGTAAATTAGTAAAATCTGTTACGTAGATCGTTAGGGTGAAATTCGTGTTTAGCTCTGTTTTTTATTATGCATGTGATCTACGTAGAGATTTTACCCAAAAATTTAAACGCACTATACATATTATATACATTAAAACAACAAATGATTTTGTGCAAAGTTGATAAATTATACTCAGATTGGAGTGGTCAGTGGAGTCGCATTTCGGAATTTTTCGGATGCTTTCTCAAAAATTTTACTTTCTTCTATTCGAACATTTCTGCTCTTCCTATGCCTATTGACTATTGGCATGCCATGGACCACCGTTGCAATTTAATACGAAAATAGATGCATCATTGATGAAATTTCATAGAATATTCTGATCTGCATGACATCTCGTGTAACTGCTGATGGTAATTTATAGTAACACAGGATAATCGGATGAAGATTTCCAATCTCTATCGCTATTGTAAAAAACCAAAGGCGTTATCATTCTGAATACTGTTTAAATACTGGAAAATGGTTATTGTGCTCATTTTTGTGATTTATTGTTCCTGATCCAGCCAGAGTTGAACCAGGGGGTGGATACAAATATGTGAAACATATAGCTTTTTTTTTTTTAGTTGTCCAAACCGGGCAATATTAACGAAGTCACGGAATCATACACCGAATCATATGGGTGATCAAGAGGAAAACTGGAACAGTTACTTTTTGATTTTGGCTAAAAATAAACCATGGAATTATTGATCAGATGATTTATTCATACGGAAAAAATGATCCGAATTTAGGTTACAATACGCATGTACATACGTACGTACCAGATACTGATACGCAGTACGTACATATGTATCTATTTTTATGTATAAGCAGTCATCTGTTATTGTAGTCGCTTGTTCTCTCTACATAAAAATCTTTCGACGTTTCTACTCTTTCATTTTTGTAAACTTTCTACAAACGTCGATTCTATACCCAATACTTAATCAACAATTTATTAATCCGTAGAATACACGTCTATATTCCAAACTTTATAATTTTTATTTATTACCAAAGATCCACTTTATTAACAACGAATGGCCCAAGTCTCAGGTACTTTTCTGTGCCCTCCATCTGTTGACTTACCGAGTTTCTACCTCTCACTTTTTTTCATCTTCAGAGCCACCTTACCAAACCGAAATATATATACGTAGGAAGTCTAATGATTTCGATGAATACCTCCAGTGAGTGTCATGTGATATCATTACTTAAAGCTCCTCCCTAAACTTTATGTTAAGGTGGGCTAAATACTTGTAAGAGTTTGAAAACATAGATACTTCCGATTTGGCTACTACCAATTATTTATATAATATCCATAAATACTTTCATTTCACCGGTATCTAGCTTGTCTTATCGAGATATTTTAAAGTTTTTATTCTGATCTGTTTTTTATAACCTTTTTCTTTGTTCTTTTCATGTTATTATTAATTTATTAGAGATCCTGATCAAGAATTGTTAAATAATGATACTTCCTTACCAAACGGTTTACGGAGATTACGAGAAGATTGGCCTCCAAAAAAAAATAGCCCAAAAAAAATTAATCATCTTGAAATTGCCCGGTTTTCAACGGAATCGCTACATAGTTATAATTTTGTCTCAAGCGATGCTTCAATGTACGAAAATAGGCAAAATATTCTTCGTCGCTCCATTGATTTCATGAAAAGCAAAATAAAAGGATGGAAATTTTTAGATGTGCATCAGGTTCTATTTTCACTCGTGGAACCTGCAACTGGCTCATCTACAGATATTGTTCTTCCTCAAGAGGAAACCGATGCTGATGAGTCACGTTCACCTCGAAAACCTAAAGGAACATTAGGTTCGTTTTTAGATATCCCGGCATTATACCAACCTATAAATTCGCCATCTACTTTACATTCCCCTACAAGGTTCACACCACAAAATCAAGCTATTATTACTACAGATCATCAGGGAAATATATTAAATGCCAACGACATTGCTTGCTTGATATTCAGTTATTCACGAGCTGAAATATCAACCATAAAGGCATTTGACCTGATTGCCAGCCCTTATAGGGAAAAGCAAGAAAAATCTCTTGCTTTAAGACCTCAAAATAATCATGATAGTTGTGAAGCTGTGTTGGCTTGCGGTAAAGTAGTACGTATTATTTCAACATATTAAACACAAAGTAAATTAAATAATTTTAATAAATCGATCAATAATTTAATGTTCATAGATTCCGATTCAGAGGAAGAATAAGGAAACATCCGCTGCTTCTTTATGGCTCAAAGCCAAAAAAGATGATGTAGGAAATTCCATTTTCATTTGGATATTTGAAGAGATTGTTGAATCCATGATGATTGCTGAAATAGACGATAAGGTACCATAATTAATGGATTTTGTGAAATTCTCGTTATACAATTTTCTTAAAACACTATTTCTTAATGAATTTAATAATAAATTAGGGTATAATATATAGTTCATCTGGTGACGTAAAAGCCTTGTATGGTTACACTCCCGAAGAAATTATTGGAATGCGCGTGACCACCTTAATCCCCTCATTGGAAGTTATCCCTGCATATGAGAATGATAAGAATGATATGGATATTGACGATGAAAGTGTTTTGAATTCACCCAATACACAATTAGATATCGAACAAATAAATAAAACCAAATATTATGGAAGTCGGTCAAAAAATTGTGCAAAGTTTCCAATCATCGGAAAAATATCGACTCAATCAGTTCGGGAAGCAATGCAAGATCAAGGATCTACCATATACCGACTTAAAATTATATCTATGCCTACTATTGCTGGCGTTATAACTGCACATGCAACTGGTATCATTCAGTCATGTAATTCTGTCTTTGTCAAATACCTATTTGGTGTGGGATCTCAAGAGTTAGTCGGAAAACGTTGTATTGAGTCACTTTTACCTCAATTTCCTCGTCTTATTGGTGTACTTACATCAGAACGATCTCTTGTTGAAGGGGTTTTAATTTCAGAGAATGCCTTTAGACGTGCGGCTGCATCTATCTCTTCTACATCAACAGATAAGTTTATTTATTCTCATACAAAGGACTTTTCTTCTACTACTCCCCCTATACCGGGGCCTTCTGGTATAATAGCTATACATAGGGATGGTACTGAATTTGACGTAGATATTCAAATGCGTGTTGTTGAATCCCCTGATGAGCCATTGCATGCATTGTGGATTACTTATGATCGTAGTGCCAATTTCGCAAAAGAACAAACATATTTTGATCGTGTTGAAAATCATGAAAATCATGTTGAGAAGCTTGAAATTAGTAGGAATATAGAAGACGACAAAATACAAGAGGAAAAAGAAAATTTTCATATATCTAAATTCATAGCAGCGGGAGGCAAACCTCCTTTAACTACACATCTTTCTTCCGATCGGCAAATAATTACACCTCCTGTGATGTCACCTGCACCTGAGCCTTTCGATCCAATGTCATATTCAGCAATAACATTGGCAAAGACAATTGATGATTTTGAAATATTAGATAACTTAGGCCAGGGTGCTTATGGCCAAGTCAAGTTAGCTTATAATAAAAATGACCTTGAAAAGGTATCAACCATTTATTTATGATCATACATTTGTGTTATGTATATGTGACTAACTAAATTTTTTATTTCAGAAAAGAGTAGTGCTCAAATATGTCGTGAAGTCACGAATACTTGTGGACTGTTGGACTCGTGATAAAGTACTTGGTACTGTCCCATTAGAGATTCATATCCTTCATACATTAAGACGATTTCCTCATCCAAATATTGTACAAATGGGTATGAATTAGTTTATATAATTTAATTTTTCATTAATATTGATATTTACTGATTTTGACATATATTTTTACATGTATTCTTTTCATGTATCTCTTTATATGTACTTTTAGTGGACTTTTTTGAAGATGATGACTATTATTATATAGAAATGGGTTTGCACGGTGCTGGTATGGATCTCTTTGATTATATAGAACTGAACACTACAATGGCTGAAGATGAGATAAAACTTATTTTCCGTCAAGTTGCACGTGCTATCCAGCATTTACATCATAGAAATATCGTCCATCGCGATATTAAGGACGAGAATGTGATACTCGACGAAAATGGGAACGTTCAATTGATTGATTTTGGATCTAGCGCATATATAAAAGCAGGTAAAAAGTATGATACTTTTTGTGGAACTATTGACTATGCTGCGCCCGAGGTAG